GGAGGGAGGGAGGGAGGGAGGGATGAAGTCGAGATATTTCCCTGGCTCTCTCGAGATGGGGTCACTTAGGGTTTGCTACCTTCCTCTACGGGAGGTCAAGCCTCTCTCAAGGTGGGTGCTGTCTACATTTCTCTCTCCTGGATTCTGATAACCACTTCTCCCCTTCATCCATTCAGGCCGAGGTATGGTAAGAAACATGTCAGTGGTTCTCAACCAGGGGTGAGTTTTTCCCACAAGGGATGTTTGGCACCATCTAGAGACGTTTTTGATTGTCATGCCCGGGAGTGTGCTAACTGGCATCTGGTGGTTAGAGGCCAGGGATGCCGTTCAACGTTCTACAGTGCACAGGACAACCCCCACAACAGAGAATTATCGGACCTGAAATGCCGACCGTACCTGAGGTGGAGAAATCCTGAGTTAATGGTGTTATCATTACCTTGAGGTACTGTGTCGTCCCTTGTCGTTTCCTTGTAGCCTGCCCACGCTTTACAAAACAGATCCTTTATTAAATCTTCCTCAAATTACCCTAAGTTGAGTGTGCCTTCTGTTTTCCTGCTGGGACCTTGCCTAATATTCTTAACAATAAAAGCACACGTATCGGGTGGCTCGAAGAGGGGAGGAGAGATGTCAGCCAGAAAGCTGCTACCTCAGCTAGCCCGGCCCTTCTCCTCCAGGTGATGCTGCAAGGCACGGCCTGTGCCTCAATCACACAGCGGCACTCCATGGACTGCAGCGCCCCGAGGAGCTGGCCTCCGCCTTCCAGCTGTAAGAGCACTGCAACAGACGACAGGAAAGGCACTATCAGTGGGTGGCCCAGGAGCAGGAAGGGCCCAGCACAGGATGAAGACAGTTGCCAGGAGCACCTGGATCCAGCCCCACAATGATGTGCCTTAAGCATTCCTCGGGCCTCTGCGCTTTCAGCCTATTCACCAGGGCCGCCTTCTTCTGCCTTTCCTGTTGTCTCAGGGTGCTCTCCTTCCGGCTTGCTTGTCCCCGCGGCTGGCATCCCCGTGAGCCTCTCCTCTGGACCTTCTGACTATGCTTGGTTCTCTTCTGAAGTGGGGGGGCTTCAGCATTTGTTTTGGTCGCTGTCAAGCTGTCGCTCTGCACAGGGCAGGTGGCTTGGAAGGCTGGAAGCTGATGGCACAGACGGTCTCCCACAGGGTCCCTGTTACTTGATGAACGTCTCTCTGAGGTGTCACGGAAGGAGGCATCAGGGACCTTTGGAAAGGACTGTTTTTTCCAGCCACATGATGCTCCTTCAGTACTCCGATGACCCCACACAGTTTGAATCGGGGAGCTAGCGTCCTCAGGGCTCAGCTGCTTACGGGTCAGAAACTTACATGTAAGCCTCTGGGCCAGGGGGATTAATTCTTCCTCATCCTCACTTCCACTGCTTAGCACCCTGACTGGCTCCGTTTGTGGGACACGTTCCGCTATGTCTGGGACAGGTGGTGTATCTCTCAACTTTGGTGATGGAGGACGGGAGGCCTCAGAATCCGAGGTGTCAACCACAACAATCTTCTCCCTCTGAGGCTGCCTCCTCTTCGTTGAAGACGCTTCCTGCTTCAGAAAGGCAAACGTTGGCAACTCTTCAGAGTCACTCTCACTGGACTCCAGTGACAGTGATGACTTTGTTAGAGCCATCGATAGGCGCTATCAAATTAATTCCCTAAAAGGAAAAAGAGAGATGAGACACAGACTAGCACTGAATTCAGTCCAGTAGACACGTTCTGTGGCCCAAGTTTACGGAAATACATACGGTATCTACAGAAACAGAAAAGACAGGATGCGGTCCCAACACATTCAACCTGGAACTCAGCTGTCTGTAGCCTTACGGGACGCCTCAAATCCCTTCTAGGTCAAGGCAACCTATAAACAAAGTGGAGATTACCATGAGAAAATTTCAACGCCAAGACTCAACACCACCCCTGGTTGATCTCTGCATTTGACAGGCAGGTTATCAAGGCATCCTTTCTTTAAAGATTGAGGTGTAACACTGCGTAGATAGGCCACACTTTGTTTATCCATTCAGCACTGACGGATATTTGGTTCGTTTCTGGGGTTTGCCCATTATGAACAATGCTGCCGCGAACATCCATCTCCACGTTTTCGTGGGGGCGTGTTTTCAACCCTCTTGCACATAAACCTAGGAGTGCAACTGTTGGGTCGGGTACAAGAATCCGTATCTTTGAATAAACACTCACTAACACTGTAGGTGTGACCCCCGGATGAGCCACCTAACCTTCCCCAGCCTCGCTTTCCAATGTAGCAAGATAGGGATGATAACAATACCTACGTGGTAACATTGTTGAGGAGTAAAATCGTGCGTCTACAGCGTTCGGTACAGCAAGAGGCACACACGCTAAGCACTCAGTAAACACGCTGAATGCCTCCAGAGGGACCTCCTCCCGGTCCCCTCCCTGGGTCTCGCATTCGTCCGGCAAAACGAGGCTGCCTGCCAGACGCGCCCGGCTCGTCCACACCGCGCGGCACAGCCCCCGATGCCCTGGTCACCCAGGCCCTGCAGAGGGGTGCTCAGGAGGCAGGCCCCCGCTCGCCGCCCGCCGCGCCAGCACAGCGACGCTCCCCCGCCACTCCCCGCGCCACTTTTTCAACGGCCGCGAAGACCCCGGAAGTAGATCGCCCGGTAGCGGAAGCAGGTCTCTGAGACCGGAAGCGAATGTACGGCAAATATGGCGTCGGCGGCGCTGGCGCTGAGGACGCGGGCGGCCGGTAACGGGACGCCGCGGCTGTTGCGGGGCGAGGGGTGCCGGCGGAGCGGGGGCCCTGCAGGGAGCCTGGGGGTGGAGGCCGTTCTCTGCGGAGGACACTGGGCGCGGAGTCGGGCGTGTGGGAGGGCCCACGAGCTTCGAGGAGCGGCTGTCACCGGTCACGTGACACGCCTCGGGCGGCCGGCAGTGGGTGGTGGATGGGTGGGGGAGCACGTGTTCTTCCTTTGCCGGGCGCGCCAGTACAGCTTCCCTGGCGCTTGGTGACTTGGGCACCTCGCTTCCACTCCCTGGTGTATTTGGATCCCTTCATCTATAAATACTGTACATTGGTGCCCCCCCCCCCCCCCCCCCCCCCCCCCCCCCCAAATAACCCGCTCGGTCTCTGTGCTAGACTGTGGTTCGGTGTTGGGGATCTCAGCAGAGAAGATGAAGACAGTCTCTGTCCCCCGGACCGGTTCTTTCTAGTGGAGAAGCCAATACATAATAAGCACGTACACAAAATGGTTTTAAATTGTGACACGTGCTGTTAAGGAAAGCAAAAATACGTGTGTGGGGGTGTCTTTTCTGGGCGCGGGGGGTTGGTGATTAGGGAAGGCCTTTCAGGAGGTGACATCTAAGTTAAGACCCAAAGCACGATAGGAGGCCTAGCCCTGTCAGAGAATAAGGGGCCGGAGAGTGACTCACGCCAGTGTTACATTTTGAGAAGAAAACAGCTGCTCTTACGTGAATTTAAAGAGGGTTTTAAGAGTGGAAACGAGGAAACCAGATGGGAAGCTGAAATGGGAGCCTTGATGAGAGAGGATTTCCCCAAGATGCTAGTGTCAGTGAACTTGGAGGGAAATGGTGGGTGGTTTTTAAGATCTGTTTGGGAGATAGAGCCCAGAGTTTGCTGGTGAGCTGGATATGTGAGATGAGCCAAGGGAAGCGATCTGCAAGGTCTTGATTTCTTCCTGAGCAACTGCATAGGTAGTCGCATCATTTACTTTGAGGTGAAGGATGGGGAGTAGGCTGAAAGGCAAAGATTTATGAAAGAGAAAATGTAGGTAAAACAAAAGCCCCATTCTTCAGCTTAATAAGAGGATGAATAAACGAATAGGTTTAAAGGTAGATAGATCCCGGTGCTGGGTATTTAACATGTCTTTTTGAGCATTTATATCTGGTCCTTTGCCCCAGCTACTCTCTGTGCTCATTAAAGCTTCAGAAACCTGGTTTCGGGAACACTGAACTTGTAGGCTCCGGGGACTCACAAGACTTCTCTAAAGACTCTGGCATAGCCCTGGCTGTGTCCGGACATCTGAAAGCAAGGACTGCCAGCCCTGTGCTTGTCATATAGCAAGGGGCTTCTAGCTTGGTTAGTGTGAATTTTAGTTCACTTCCTTTTTCAGAAGTAAATGCCGTTGAGCATTTCGGAATGCGTATGGGGAGGTCAGGTTGTCAAGGGCAGGGTGTCAGTCTTGGCTAGGACCTGTGCTGGATAGGCTTGCCCAAGAGAATCTAGCCTTCTGAAATGGCTGGGAGCCTGTGGGAGCCACCCTCAGAGAAGCTGCCCTTTTTTGTTTACACGTATCTGGTGTGCAGTGGATGGGTGGATGGCTGAGAAAGTGGTGGGTGAGGCCAAAGCAGGACCCTCTGTCTGGGTGTCCTGTTGCTGGGCCCTGTGGTCTGGCCCCTCTGCAGTGCCTGGAGCTTTGACGACATGTGGTGAGTGAGGCTGAAGCCAGCAGCTCTGTGGTGTCCTCTTGATGGCTTATGTTTCTGTGGTGTTTGTCTCTCCTCAACAGGACTGAATGTGTCAGGACCCAGGGCACATGGTGTTTATTTATCTTCCGTGAATATTTCACTACCCACCACCTCCCCTGGCCACACACACTCTTCGCATGAGGCATACACCCAGGACAATACAAGGAACGACTTGTCCCCTGCCGTGGGAGAAGGCCAAGGGCTTGCAGACACTCCCTGAAAACCAACACAGTCAAGTGGCATTTCTGCTCACATATCTTCCTCCCCTCCCCTGCCACTGCCCCCCCCCCCCCCCCCCCCCCCCCCGTCACCTCTCAGCTTAGCAGATGGCCCATTGAGGCAGAGGAGGAGTGATTGGGAGCCTCTCTGAACAACTTTTCTGTTCTGTCTGCAGTTACAACCCTGCTGGGCCCCCCTCAGACTGCGTCTCTTGCTGTCAGATACGCATCCAAGAAGACAGGCGGCAGCTCCAAAAACCTGGGTGGAAAGTCACCAGGCAAACGCTTTGGCCTCAAGAAAATGGAGGGTGAGGGTGTGCCTTGGCTTCCACTTCCCACCTGCCCCCTCCCGTGCTGTCCCCAGCATTCCTTTGCAGAACAGGAAAACCACGCACACTCCTGGTCCTCTGCTCTGCACTTAGCTCGCCAGAGCACTTGGTTCCAGATTCCAGATGCAGAGAAGACCTGGGGCAGGGAGGGGGTCCTGAGGAAGAGCAGATAGCTGTGAACCTGGGCCACGTGACTGGAGAGAGAAAACTGGCAGAGGGAGACCCGGAGCTGCTGCTGCATGAAGAAATTGACTTTGTCCAGGGTCAGGCTTAGAGGTCGGCGTGCGGCACTTGGTCCAGGAAAGCGAGGGCCGGTGTGTTTTCCCAGCAGTTAGCTGTGCTGCCCCAGCACTGGGGCCCAGCGTCAGTGTGCTTGTGGACTTCTCTTTTAGATCACTACGTTCATGCCGGCAACATCCTTGCGACTCAGCGCCACTTCCGTTGGCACCCGGGTGCCCATGTGAGTTGCTCCATGGCCCTTTCCCCTTTTTCCTTTCCCAGGACCACCTCTCTGTGCTCCTAAGCATGATAGTAAATAACAAAACAGTTGCGTTCATTGGGTACTTATCAAATGCCAATCATCATTTTGCTTCCTGGGCCTGCATTATCTCGTTTCATCCTTAGCCCATCCCTGTGATGCGGTGATGGCACTGTGATGGCACTTCCATTGTCCAGGTAAGATGCCAGAGACTTAGAGAGTGGAGGGGTCCACGTGACAGAGCCGGGGTTCATGCGAGGGATGCCTGACTCCCGGTCACTGTGCCTTGCCTTGTGTAGCAGCAGCCTGGTTCTCTCGGGTCTCCTTTCTAACCCCCACCTGTTAGAGGAGGAGACACTTAGTGATCTGAGATATTTTTTGAATCCGGGGAAGCTAATTCCAGTGTATTCCTTTTTCTTTCTTTCTAATCGCTCTTTTGCACGAAGTTAATAGATGGCTGAAAAAGATAGTTTGGATTTAATAAATACAGCGGACGTGCAAGAAATCAGGTCTACAGCAGGCAGGGATTTCAGCTTCAGCAAGCTGGGATTACTTTCTGACGTAGGAAAGATCTTTGTCAACGCAGATCGGTACGAGACTCTTCACGTTATCTTAAATGTTGGTTTGGTTTCCTTTGGAATCCGTTTCCCCTACCGCCCCTTTTCTGGCAATTTTAGGAGGCACCGAAAGACTGATAGTAGCCAATACTTACGTCAGAAATGCTAATTTGTATGTGAATTGATTGTACTTGCAGGAGCTTTGTCTTTTAGAACTTGAGACATTGGCTGTGTGGCTGTGTTAACTCTTGGGACTTGCCAAAGTAATAACAGCGACAATAACAAAAGCTAACGTGTTGTGAGCTAGGCAGTATTCTGAGCTCTTAATGATGAACTCGTTTAATTCCTCGAGTTGACCCCATAAAGCAGTTAATATTACCCCCGTTTTGCAGATGAGAAAACCCAGACACAGTGAAGTAACACAGCTCGTCCGGGTCACACGATAGTAGGTAGTCGTGCTGGGATTTGAACCAGGCACTCTCGCTCCAGGGCTCATTCCTTTAGTCAGAGAAATACTGAGTACCGTGTTGCCAATCTCAAGCTCTAAAAGAAAAATGCCAAAATACATACAGTTTACAAACCGTGTATGCAACTCGTAGTTTATTTAGTTTATTCTCTGCTCATAGTCTTCGCCCAAAGAACAGCTAGAAATAAACAGCTGCCCCGGCAGGTGAGAGTTAACCGAGTTGATGCACATATCAGCGGATACCATTGGTACTGCTGTTTTGTTGGTGTACGTGTTGCCATACATATGGCCTTGCTCTGTCCTTCCCGTGAAGCCTGAACTTTAGAGATCACTGTTTGGATGAAAATATGGCAAACGTATGTTTACTCTGACAACTCCAGCGCTTTTTCATTTTAAGCGAGGCAAGCTCCCAGGGGCAGTGATGAGGGGCAGTTTCCCCGGGCCTGGGGTTTGGGGATTTGTCTGGTGTGGCTTCTGGCCAGCTGCACAGACACGGGTCCAGATCCCAGCCTTCGGGGACGGAGCAACCCCGTGGATTGGCTGTCGGAGTTTTTGTTTTCCCCCTTCTGTCCCAGGGTCGGTAAAGAAGTAGAAGTCAAGGAAGTGCCAAGCAGTAGGAAAGGGAACCCAGGGTAGAGCTTTCTGATCTCCCGTTTGGGCCCAGGGCCTGAATCCTTACGAGAAGTTTGTTCTGAAGCCCTGGGATGGACCACCTGGCCGTCGGTCCAGCTGACTGGGTCTTTGTGTTGCAGGTGGGGCTGGGGAAGAAGAAGTACCTCTATGCCCTGGAGGAGGGGATAGTCCGCTACACTAAGGAGGTCTATGTGCCCAGTCCCAGGAACGCGGAGGCTGTGGACCTGGTCACCAGGCTGCCCAAGGGTGCTGTGCTCTATAAGACTTTTGTCCATGTGGTTCCTACCAAGCCTGAGGGCACCTTCAAACTGGTGGCTATGCTTTGAACTCCTGGTCGAGGCCGCCGGACAGAGACTGGAGCCCAGGTGACAGGAGAGGATGGCAGCAGCAGAAGTCAAGGGTTGGCACGACAAGGTCTGCTGAGGACGTCTGTTTGGTGGTGATTGCAGAAGACTCTGAAGTGACTGGCTCTTGGGAGACCTGACCTGGGGCCAGAAATAAAGTGTGCTGGAGTCACGAGTCTGTGCTGTGTGGGGATAATTTGGGGTCAGCAAGCAAGAGAGCAGAGCCCAACCCCTTCTGTCCCTATGGCTCTCTCCCCTCTAGTTGTCTCCAGGCCAAGGCACAGAGCTCAATCCTCTGCATCTCAGAGATGCACCTGGTGTAGAGATCCCAGTCCTCTCTGACCACTAGCTCATTCTCACGTGACCTGGCAGCCGGCTCTGATGACCTTTGAGAGTCAGAGAAAGCCTCCTCCTCCTGCCCTGGGGAGGTTGCAGGTCAGATGATTCCTTTTGCTCTCTGTACCTAGGCTCCCATACGGTATCCTGTCCCTGGGGAGCAGCCTGACTGTAGTCACCACCTCTCTCCAGTGAAGGCAGCGCTCTGGGCTTTCCCCTGGGAACTAGGGAGAGGGTGGGCCTCCAGTTGTTTGTAGAGCTGGGATGAGACCACTGTCCTCACCAGCAGCTCCCAGCACTGGGTCCCAGTTAACAATAACCAGGCAGGACGCTGACAACGTTATTAACCTTTTCCATGCTGATGCTCTGGCCCCAAGGGAACCCAGGCTGGGAGTGCAGAGTCCGTAACGCTACCTCCTCCCCGCCCCCAGGGGCACAGGTCAAGGGTCCAGCCTGGACCTGGCACGCACAGGCCCACCTCACCTCCCCACATTGGAATCCTGCTCCAGAAGTTTAGTAGGGTTGAGCTGGCCAGTCTGACATCAGCTTGACAGGCAGGGGAGACTGGGGTGCGGGCAGCTCCCTTTTTGCTGCTGCATCAACCCCCTGCGGGCAAAGATTTATTTAGGAGAGCCATGTAGCTTTATCCTGTCTCTTTCTTCAGTTCGGGGAAGTGATGTGTGGAAGGAGTTTAGAGAGGGACAAACTTGAGGAGAAGGAACTTGTGGCACCCTTAGAAGCTGTGAGTCTGAAGGGAAAGGGGAGGACTCCAAGCCTGAACTCTGACCCCAGTGCCCAGCCCCTTCTCCACTGTGACAGACTGTGGCATCTCAGAACTCGGCAGGGAAGGGACTAGCCATACACAGCATTCTTCCCAAGTGGCTTACCCTAGGTGACCCTATAGATGAAGAGGCTGGGCTTCTGGCCTACGGTGAGGGGTCAAGGGTACATCTGATCCAACCCTGGGACTCACCAGTGGCTACAACTAGGACAAGGAAGGAGGCTATTGCCCATGGTGGTCTCTGCATGCAGAACAGCAGTGGCAGAGGGGTGCCAAGACAGGGCATCGGCCTTGAGCCACCTTGAAGACAGTCGGCAGGGCCACAGGACTGCTGTCACCAGGCCACCCCCAGCCCAGGAACTCTGGCCCAGAGGAGCAACTGCATTCGAGGCAGGGTATCTGTGAGCAGGTCTGCCCCTGCTGGACCTGCCAGTACGGTGCCAGGACCTCCTGTCCCACAGAGGGCGCTCCCCTCTGTGGACCTGGCAGCCACCAAGTCCCCTCTACAACCTTCAGAAGGGGTTTTGGCAGGAATGGGCTCAGCTTCTTCTACACCCCATGGCCAGCCAGGGGAGCTCCAACTGGCCCAGACCTCTGTACTCCTCCGTTCCAGATCACCTCGCAGGAACTCTGGCCCGCCACTTCCCATTGGCCCAGGTAACTGGGCTCTGGATGCCAACTGGCTGTCCTCTGGTCTCCGCTCCTGCCTCTAAGGGAACCGAGGCGTCCACGGTTGCTCTGGAAACCGGGCATGGGCCACAAAACACAAAAGCCTCTCTGCAAGGGATCTCCCCCCTCCTTCCAAAGGAATTATCCCAGCAGCCTAGGGGTCCAGCCTGCCCCAGAAGACCCCCACCCCCACCCCGTCCACATCCCGCCTGCCCTGAATCCTGATCTTGACCCCAGGGGCCCCACCAGGAGAGGATTTCAAAGAAGCCTCAAAAAGCCCAAGCCTCCAGGTTCAGCTCACCCTACAGACAGATGGGGGGGAGGAACAGGGC